CCAGGAGTTCTCCATCCGCAGCCGCTCCCTCTACTACCTCTTCAGCCTGGGCACGGAGCTGGGCAACGAGCTCTTCTACATCCTCTTCTTCCCCTTCTGCATGTGGAACGTGGACGCGTGGCTGGGCCGGCGCCTCATCATCATCTGGGTGTGGGTGATGTACGTGGGCCAGTGCACCAAGGACGTGATCCGCTGGCCGCGGCCCGCCTCGCCGCCCGCCCTCAAGCTGGAGGTCTTCTACAACTCCGAGTACAGCATGCCCTCCACGCACGCCATGTCGGGCACGGCCATCCCGCTGGCGCTGCTGCTGCTCAGCTACGGCCGCTGGCAGGTACCGCGCGCCCTTGCCGCGCTCCTGGCGAGCGCTCGGCTCGTAGCCGCGTTCACGCGCGTTGCACAGCCCGGGCAGGCACCGCCCGTGCTTCTGGTTGTACCGACACGTAACCTGCTGGAGAACCAGGAGCTAAAGGGCTTCTTGCCGGTCCTTCACTTTGAATCACCTTGGCTCAGTTTGTAGCCTCAGCCTCTTTGTCATTTTCACTTTCATTGCCCATAAACTGGAAACTTGCCTGTGGAGGAGTACGTGCATTTTTCTGGTGGTTTTGCCGCTGTTAATGCACCGGTCGTTTGCAGGGAGTGATCTCTGAGCCTTTTCGGAGCCTTCATGCAGCTAAATCTCAGTGCCTGCCTGTTGCACTTCGAGTCGACGGGTTAAGCTAAAGGAGCACTGCTGAACGTCTGGTTTATGCAGGCTGAGGCATGTACTTAGTTGGCAGGGCTTGCTCGCGAGTTCTTGCTGTTGCATGTAGTGTTAAAGAAGGCACTGCGAGTGCTCGCTTCCCGAATCACTGCACCCACTTCGGGGCAAGCAGGCAAAACGCTTTCCTAGGCAGCGAGTGTTCTCTGCAGGGCTTTGGAGGTTGATTTGTATTTGGCCTCTTTTTAGTGAAAGTATCTGCTTATGCAGAAGTGATGTAACATACCCGAAAGAATCAGGGACTCCAGTTTTTGCCTAGGAAAATGTCTCATTTTCATAGAGTTCTGCAGATATCAGGTAATGCAGTTTTATGCAGGTGTTCATGAAATACCTGTCAGTTTAATCACCAAGATGCATACTCTTAAAATGCATTTTATGGCAGAATACACTGAATATTTGATTATTACCTGTTAGATCAGTGGGGCTGATGTCACTTAGACTGAACTGAATTTTATTTCTCTGCCTGTTGGAAATCTCATTTAGCAGCATCAATTCATAAGCTTTGCATGACTGCTGCCTTGTGTGCAAAGGAGAGCCTAGCTTGACTGCACTTGTAGAACTGTGTGTGATTTTTTTTGTTTTTTTTCCACCAAGTATGATCTCAGTTTGTGAACCCTGCGACTGTGGTCTGTGAAATATTTTGATAATTAACCACACACTTATAATAGATGCCTGTTAAGAAATGACAGCCATTCAGCCTCTGTTAATATTCACGTAGAATCATACTTAGCAAATAGGGGGGATAAAATGTTTGAGTTTTCAGATTTTTTTTATTCGTGTGAAGTAAATATGAATAACAGACCTCCTTGAAACCATTTCAGAACATTCAAAGTATTGAATGTATTCAGATTTACCTCAGAGAAGAGTTAATTTTTCATCTAATGCTTCTGCTATTCTCTGTTCTACTTATGTGGAAAGAGTAGAGTTTATAACACCACCTTCTATCTTGCTATTGTGGAAATAGAAGGGTTGGAGAGTGAGATAGCTACCTTTTGGATAGCTATTGACAGGGGAGCTTGCAATAGCACCTCTTTTTATTAAATTATAGCTATATATTATTAGATTAAAACCCACTAGACTTAAACTCCTCAGCAAATGTTGGGGTACAGTCTTAGGGTATATATGTTCTGTAGAAGGAAATATTGCACAGGTAAAAGCCACATCGTAGCACTGTGTATTCAGAGTCATGCTGGAAGAACACAAAGTGAATTTGGGCAGATAGAGCTATAACTTTTTGCAAAGACTGTTATTCTGAAATAAAAGTGACTTTCCTTTGTCACCTTGGAGGTTTATACTAAATCAAAGAAAGCTACTCTTGGGCTAGAAGAGATTCTTCAAGTGAAAAAGGGAATCATTTTCCAAAACAGCCTATTTGGAATTTGCTTTGAAATAGTTTAGGACTTAAGAGTATTGTGTGATACTGCTTTTCTGTCAAACAAATGCAGTCTGTGATTCCTTCCCTTACACAACATACAGAATAGAGTAGACCTTATTTTTCTAGATAACTGTCCTTTAAAATCCAAAAGTTTGAATTTCAGTCAGACTACTTTTAACCTGATAAGTTTGTGTTTTCCTAGTTTCATATGACGCTCAGTAACACTATTACATTTTTTCCCTATTTGAATCCTACATTGGAAAGAACTTTTGACTATACATAGTAAAACTAAAATATTTGTCTATAAATACAGTTCAAGTAAAATATTTTCAGAGACAGTGTGTTTTGAAGTTGTGATCAACTTTCATAACTGGAGATTTTGGATGCTGGCAGTGTTCAGTAGAGCTGAGCTTTCAGCAGCAAGCCAATTGTATGTTAAAACAATTTTCTTCCTAGCTAACTGTTCTGTACCTTATAGAGTGCAATTTTTCAGTTAGTCATTGCATTATGAGAACTTCCTGAAACATTCAACTCTGCTTGCATAATCCTTTTTTAATAGCTTTGGGTTTATTTGGTTAACTCATAGCAGGTAGAAGATCTTAGCAAATCGTGTTTCAAAGGTATTTCAGTAACCTTGAAACACAAAGCTGATGCCAAAGACTAGCTAGAATTTAGAAGTATTACAGATACTGGTAGTTTTCTATAGTTTTCTTTATCTTTGAAGTTGATATCTAAAAATAAGGGAAAAAAATAAAAGACTGCTGAAATAATAAAAAAGTGTGATTATAGATATTGATGGGACATAGAAAACAGTACGCAGTTATTGAATCAGGATTTTTTATTTTTAAATGTTGACAGTTTAAGCCTAGTTTGATTATACTGTATCCTTAGCAGTAAGTAAGAGATAGTGCGAGTGACTAGTTTTAAATCTGTAAAAATCTTTTAAAGCTTTAAGCAGAGACTTCTAGAAAATCTTTTAAAAAGGATTTCGTTTTTTGATGAGCTTGAACTGCTGATTTCAAGTAGGTGTCAATGGATACATGATTAGAAACGGTGTCTTAACCCTGCTGTTGTTTGTTTTTCTCCTCGCAGAGCTCCTCCGGGCTCAGCTGGGCTCTGGCAGGAGCTGTGGAGCTTTACAGCGCCGTGGAGCTTTGCTGCTTCCTGAGCTCTCATTAATGATCTGTGTCAGAAACTGCTGACGCTCACTCTGGGCCACTGAATGAATTTTAAGTTGATGTTTAGCACGAGCCCAGAGCTAGATTGATGAATATCTTGCCTCTGTAACTAAAATAACTACTTTATTTTTTTTTTTAAATGAGCTTATCCTGTGAAGTGGTTTAGAACATTAAATATGGCAGTTTTGTGCTTCTCGCTATTGACTTGTCTGCTGGTGCTATGTGCAAATCCTGTCAGCACTGACCATCTTACCAGCCCATTCATGAATATGTTGGCCTGATAAGTGCTAACATCTAAATTGCTCTAGAGTCCCTCCAATGATTCCTTTGGCAGACGCGTCTCAGAGTTTTAATTTGCTTAAATTACATCTTGATCTTTGGAAGTATGACTTGTGTAAGAACATCACGTGGTGCCAGGGCACTCTTCTAGAAATCCTTCATCTGCACTATTTTATGAACCAAGGCAGATGAATCTAGTAAAATGAAATGGATTTGACAAGACCAATATTGGGATTTGAGAGAGTTTTGCTCCATTCTGACTGAACAACACCGAATTTTATCTCAGGAATTGTCTGCCTGCTCTTGCCTTTTAAAAGACTAACTATATCCCCGTTCCCCCTGGAAATGGGGAATAAGGAATTTTCAGGGTTGGATGAATAGTCCAGATGCTTTAATTGTTCTCTCTGGCTCCTGTGGTTGGGTTTCTACAGAAATTTTAGGGAAAAAAAAGAATTGTTCTAATGTGAGAAAGAGCTGAAATGTTGCTTTGGAAACCCAGAATATCCACACAGTGAAGAGCTGTTGAAATAGAGATGGGAATTTGTGAGATTACAACTGGCCTTGTCTTGTGTACTTGAGTTGTAAGGTCTTAATAGTAGAGAATATTGGTGTCTGTCATCTGTTAGTAAAGGAGGTTGGAAAAGGTGCTATGGCTTTTTTGAAATAATGTGCTCTCTTTGCTGAGCACAGCAACCTGTTACAAACCCCACAGGAATCTCTGTTAGGGCTGTGCAGCAGCCTGTCCCAGTAAATTGTGCTGACTGCCATTAAATAAACTTTTTACAGTTTTGCATAAGCAAATCCTTCTTTAGTTTAAGGGACTTTGTTTTAAGTTTGGGGGACTAGGCAAAAAACAAATGCTCGAGGGTTAGAAGCAGGTGGTTTTTTTTATTTTTTTTCATGAAGAGAGCGTTCAAAGGAAATGCTGCACTTCTCAAGCTATTATTCAGTGTACATAATGTTCAGTTTGCAGAAAAATTCTTTTTCCCAGTGTTGAGGGCATGAGCAGAGCAAGCTGCTGCTGATTTTTGTGAAGTGTACTCAGGCGGGGACTGGTATCTGTCATGACTGCAAGGAGAAGTAGTAACAGGATCTAATTCTTATTGTAACTGCAGATTTCCTTTCTGATTCTGTGTAGCGGGGGAAAAAAAAACTTTTAAGTTTCTCAGAAATCATTTTCTTGGAATTTAAAGATACTCTGATAATCACTTGTGGCACTCGGATTTCTTTATGCTCTTTACTGTTAGTGTTGGTCAGTAGAAGAAAAAAAAGAAATAATGTAGTTTGAACAGTGATATTTACCACTTGGCCTTTTTTCAAGAGACTTTTTTTTTGTCTTTTTATTTTTCCCAAAGTGACTAGCAGGTTTTTTAACCATCTTCCTCTTTGCCTTCTCCCCCTGCCTGCAGATCTTTACATGCTGTGTTTTTGTACTTATCTGACCAGTTAATGACTTCTAGTCATTTCTGTAAATACTTGTGTAAATACTGATTTTTATATTTTCATATGAGTATTGGTAAAACCACAATGCTGCAAGTCCTGCTTAGATTCTTTAATATAACTCTGCCCTACAGATAACTGTCTCAAACTCAAGCTGATATTCTGAGTTATCATGTGCTGAAGGATCATTGACTAATATTTCAGAATACTGAAAATAATTGAAATCTGCTTTGGAACCTTATTTTTTTTTTTCCATGCTGGAACTTACTCCAGTGAAGGATGTGCTAAAAAAATACTGGCACCTATAATGTGTTTGAAGACTGTTCCATTAAGAAAGAAGGAATTTTCTGACCTAGGTCAAAGCTTTCAGGACAGATTGTTTCCTTAAGAGCACTTTCAAACAATGGTTCTGTTATTAAGGGGAGGGAAGAGGGATAGCGTAATATTTTCCATGTGATCCAGGCCGAGGCTTGGTGGCCCTTTTTAGAGGATGCAGTTAAAGCAAATGAGTATTTCACATTTAAAAACATAGGCTATAAAGTCTCAAAAACTTGATGGGAGTTGGATTCAATGCTGTTTTCCAAAACCTACTAATTCAGAGTTCTGTGTTCTTGTTATTAAAACAAGATTATGGATATGGGACCAAATTTAACTAGACTACTCATCTCTCAAACTTCAATCAGAAGTATTCCTGGGGTTTTTCTTTGACTTTACAGTTCATATTTGAATTTAGAAATTAAAATTGGGTAAAAAGGTTATTTTTCATAAATAACATGCATAGTGATCTATCAGTTCACTCAGTTATATACAGGAATATTTGGATATTTTTCTCAGCAGTTACGATGTCTTCAAAGAAACATACCCATTCAAACCCTTAAAAACAAAATGATAGTATCTCTGCATGGTGCATTTTTCACTGCTGCCTGCAATCTCTGCCTTGCTTTTCATTTCCCTACGTCTCCATTCACCTTGTACTATTGTGTGTGCTATGTGCTTAAGGTTTGTATTATCAAAGTTTTATTTTGACCTTCTGAGAAAGACTTATATAAACTGGGTATCAGTTGTCTGGTCTAACAGAAAAGGTGGGAGACTTTATGTAAGGAGAAGATTCCAGGTTATTGTTGGTTTGAGTCAGCATCTGATCTTGAAGCTAGATGAGTACCAAGTCTGTATCTTAATTTTTGTATAAGGTTGCTCTCTTTTTTTTTCTCTCCATCACAAGTGTGTGCTTTTGTTTTAAGAGAGTAGTACACAGTTTAATAAATACTTTCTGTACTCAAAACTGCTGAAGAGGCATGGTAGCCATGGGCTCTGAATAGAATGGCCTTAGTGGAGGCATGAGGTTTTTGCTTAAAGTTTTGCTTGCAAGTGGACTGTTCCTCAGCATCCACCTCAAAGTTGCTCAGAGGGTGGTATGAATGAAGATATGTCAATTTATGTCAATTCTTCTATCAAAAAGAACAAGCTAAGGAATGAAACCTGTGTGTGTGTTGGGTTTTTTGTGTGTGTGTTGGGTTTTTTGTGTGTGTGTTGGGTTTTTTGTGTGTGTGTTGGGTTTTTTGTGTGTGTGTTGGGTTTTTTGTGTGTGTGTTGGGTTTTGTTTTGCTTTTTACTCTTTAGTTTAAAAAATTACCTGTTAGTTTTCAGTTTTGTGAAGGCAATACTTTTTCCAAATTAAGTAGGAGAACCAAGCGAGCTTCATAAAGGGACTTTTATAACATTTTCTTTTGTGAATGCTTAAGATTGTTTATATTAAGGCTTTAACTTGAATAAATCATGCCTGTTTTGAGTGGGAGATACAGGAAAGGTTGGTCGTCTTCTGGTCTTTGAATATGCACTTAGTGATGAGAGAGAAGCTTTGTGAAATGTACTGCTTGTTATAAAACAGAGCTGATAATGTTAATAATAAGATATAGCACTCCTCTGTGGCACGGTGGATATTTTGTATGCCCAGGCAGTGAGACTATAGTTCAAATTAAGGTAGAACCACTTTAGACATGCCAAATATACAAGAAGTCATTTTCTAAATTAAACATTACTTCTTCATTTCCTTTTATTATTTCAATACTACATTATTTTCAGATAACGCTTTCAGAGTAAACTTGTCATTTGAGCATATTTCTAAGGTTTGCAGTGGTACTCTGTGCTGGTGTTGGGAAGTGGAGGCTGTTGAGCAGGAGCTCGGAGCTACAAGCTGTGTGAAAAGTTAGTCACCCTGTGTGCTCATCCCTCCTCTGTGTGGGGGGAAAAACCTGGCTGTGTTACTACCTCCAGGCAGATTTTAAGCAGGTGCTACTGGTTAGGTGTTCTAGGAATTCTTGCACCCAGTGGCTGCTTTTGAAAGATCTGAGTGAAAACAAGTCAGGCAGGAGGCAGGATGTTGGGCTACTGGTCTTTATTTTGGTTGAAGCCAGGGGCTCCGTGTAAGCTGCATTCTGGGCTTGCAGGAAGAAAATCAGATCAGTTATAGGGGCTGCGTGGGGAGGTATGGGCATAATGCTGGAAGAAACCAGGACAGAAAAGGGGTAAAATGTCATTTGGGTGGAAATATACTCCTGTGCTTTGTATGTAAAAGATGTCTTCATATTTGAAGCTACCTCATTTCAGTAAGCAAAATAACTATTGGTTCAGATAAACAGTCTTCCAGGTGTACCAGTTGTATAAAGGTGAGAACAGAGTAGAGAATGTTTAGACTGGGAACTAATTATGAAAATTTATTTAACTGTTTTATTTCCTCTGGAAAAAAAAATCCACAATGCTTGGATATGGTGGATATTTTTCACGTTAGTTTATCCAAGAAAGAGTAAAGGAAAACTGTCTGTAATTCCTGGCTTTTATTATGATATTCCAGTGCATCAAGGCTGTCTGTTGATAGGGAAAATCATTTTATAAAGCTTACTTTGTGACCATATAGGAAGTGAAACAATCTTGGAAAATTGCCATCTTGCCTTGTGACTGCCTCTCTTATAAAACTAGTAATTTTAAAGCTGCAAAAGGAAGCTGTATCTCATCTTGTACAACATATTGCATAAACTAATGAGGAAATCATTTCTTGCTGTTTGGTAAGATATGAATTCGTAGGTTGTCTTTCATCCAAACCCTATAAAACTTAAGGTTTTGCACTTCGGCATATATTTATTAAAAAAAAAGTACATTGTTCCCTTTAAAGAGACTCTTTATATATTTAAAAAACCATTTACTCTGAGGCTTTGGAAGTAATTTTTGATGCTTTTTGTAATTAACATGGCTCATAGAAAATCTTGTGCGGGCTTGTAGAGCTCACAACAAATTACTATTCCAGGAGTTTCGTCCCAATGCTCAGAGATTGCCAAATGTTGCAGAATCGCTATAACAGTCCATAAGGAATTAAATTAATTTCTGGTTTACTCTTTTGCCTTTTCAGAAAAAAGGTAAAACTATTGCATTATTTTCTTTCTGTGAATTTGTTTATAACACTAGCTTATCATACAGCTATTTTGCCGTGAATAAATCTGCTCCTTAGTTTATAACACAAGACTTGACACAGTCCATACGATCAACTTAGGATGCTACAATGTGACAACACTTAAGCAGTTACAAAGATAAAAGCTTCTTGCTGCTTTGCCTGAAAGTATATGACCAATGCTCAGAAAATTGTGTATCCCGAATGCAAAGGAAGAGGAAAGGATTAAAAAAAAAAAAGGCTTTATAATGGTCTGTATAAGAAGCAGATTTATAGGGAGTTCTGTAATGGGCTTGGGTAAGCTTATATCAGGAAAAAGGGTAAGCATGTGTCCCATTAACTGGTTGTTGCTAAGTGACTTTTCTAGAGTTACAGAATTCTTACTGAATTATTTATTATTGAGTTATTATTTTCAGATTCTAATATGATCTCTCCATTTTTCCCTACCAGTATCCCCTTATGTTTGGGCTGATTCTTGCGTTCTCCTGGTGTTCTTTGGTTTGCTGTAGTCGAATTTATATGGGAATGCATTCAATTTTGGTAAGAAAATCATCATACTGAATTTATATTTTAATATTCTGACTTAATCTTTTATAGTACATTAATTGTATGTAGATTTTTTTTTAGAATGTCATATTATACAGGAACAGAATATTTCTGATTGATCAGTGAACAAAGTACTGTTGAGAAGGAGCAGTTGAAGGAGGGGGTGCTGACACTGCTAGAGCAACTTCCCATCTGCATTATGCACTCACACTTTTCTAGGTTGCCTTAAGAGTACAGTAAAACATAAAGAAAACATTATTAATACTAGCACTCAGGCCCAGTTTAACCCTCTTTTTTAGGTTTCTCTAAAGTAACTGGATATCTGTAAAGTGGAGTAGACTTAAGCAGTTTGGATCAGCAATGTACTTGGCTTCTGCATTGTTATTTCTGGAACTTCTTGTTTGTTAAATTTAGGATCAGTGCAAATAATGATTTTTAGTACTAAGTCTGCAAACTAAAGATTAGGTAGCAGTTCTGCTAGCTTCTGTATGCTGCCTTTTAAGAAATAGCTCTGCATGAGGGCCTCAATCTCATAATAAATGCTGGCTAGATGAAACAAATGGAGAACACTGTAAACAAATGTGTTACCAAGACTGAGAGCAACGCACCTCTCTAGAATTCTTAGATCTTTTTAGAAAATTGCTGGTGTGTGGTTGCAATATTAATGACTTTATTTGCTTTTGTTGCATGGCATCGAGGACAATGGGTTGCTATGAGCCATCCTGAAATCATCTTCAGTGGTGTTTTTTCTTAAAAATGAGGAATACTAGTGTAACTGAATTACCATTCGAATTTTTGAGTTCTCATTTTTAGTGTGAAAAGACTAGCCTTCAGTCAGCCATTTGAAGAATTCAGACTTCATTGCATCTTTAATGAATACATTCATAACAGTTTAAGCATTATAAATTAATGTAGACCCCTAGAAAACTCCTCTGGAGATCCAGAAAGAGGGGAAGGGAGGAGGATAGAGCCGTCACAGCTTTATGCTGTGTGATAGAAATCAAAAAACAAGAAGTTTGTTTTCCTCGTAGCTTGTTTTTACATGCTCGATTATGCCGTACACCTATAGAATATTCAGATGAGGTGCATTGCTTATGAAATGCATCTTCAGAACAAGTTTGAAGCGTCTTTTGTAAGAAGACAGAAAGCGAGGAGGTTAGGGAATTTTTTGAAGTAGTAGTGCAATTCTAGATGTATTCATAGTTCTGAAACCTGGATATCAAAGGCGTGTATCTTCCATAGAGCACTTTGTATGTATCTCTCTCAAAAGATGTTGGTTTGAGTGGAGAACTAAAAAGATCTTTCCACACACTTGTTTAAGATAAATAAAAATAAATTGTATGTGAGAGTTCAACAGAATAATTAAAGAATTAATACAATAACTAAAAGCTTTGGTTATTTTATACTCTGATGAACTTGGTCTGCAGTTGAGACTTAACTAATGCTTATTAGCAGTTTTAGTGTGGAAACTGATGACTGAGGTTACAAAATGTGCACTAACTTCTTTTACAATATAAATCATTCAGAGAAATTCTGAAATAACTTTATACAATATGAGAGTGGTTCTTACAGTCCTCTTATCATTCAGTTGTAATCTTGCCACATTGCTTCATTGCTGTTTTTTGCAATAGGAGGAAGATCACTGCAGGAAAACAAGACTGAGAGGGGAAATGCTAGCTCAGTAGTTATTTAGTCTTAAATATTGCAGAACTTGTTTTCCCCTCACTCCAGTACTGCTATTGCTGCTGCAGTGCAAAATTTATTAATATGCTTGCACATAAACTTGGCAAATTAGAGAACAGTATGATCTCCAAACTAAA